CCTACATTATATTTTCATAGAAACTGTAATCTTAGAGCTCATTAACATATTCAAGCTTTGCGACTTCTTAAATCATTATCATGGAATAACTTATCTCCCCTAACTAACACATAACATTTGCATAATAATATGAATGCGAATTTCTGCATACGAACTTTATCTGAAAACTTCTAGTAAAGCAAACACAGTACCTAGTTTAAGATGCTTTTACAATAACTTGCAGATTCACAGTTTAGTTTTGCATACGTAATCTTACCTGCAAGGAAACTTTGGCAAGAACTGCATGATCTTAGCAAATAAATGTCTTTAATGCGATTTTCGAATTTTAGATTCAAAAGTCTTTAGAGTTTAATACTTTAACTGCCAAGTTTAAAATGGTGAAAGTCAAACCTCCACTAGCGTCAGGCACCGGTGACTGACGTGGCGCTCTAAGGGTTAAGCAAACAAAATTACTGTTTTTACTAAAGTAAAAAGTTAACACTTCAAATTAAAACAGGCTTTATTATATGTAGTAAATCCGTTTGAAAATAAAAAGCCATTGTGTTATAAATATTGATAGGCAAAAAAAGTATTTATTGAAGTTGCATTTTTATTCCAACAATTTTCTTTTCAAAATAAAATTAAAGCACTAATACTTTGTGGTAATTGACGCAAGCGGGCATAATCCACAATAATAGCTTTCATAATAGCGCCGCACGTTAAGTCATATGCTACTATGCTACTGTGTCACGCTGCCACGCTCAGCGCACACTTCCACAAGCCGTGACATAAACTTCCTTCAATAATGACGAACTCCACAGTTAGATTTATTGACCGTCGTCTCTTATTGAGCTTGACTGCAGTTTATAGTTGCGTTTGAGTTCCCGGTTCCTGTTTGATGCGCTTAATCCCACTCCTTAATTTAGTTTGGTACTGCTTCTTAAGCAGAAAGTAAGTAGTTTCAGTTGATGGAGGTAGTTTCAATACTTTGTTGTTGTTTGAATAGCATTGCAGACTGGCTCTGAAGGATTTTGGACTGTTGTGTTTATTTCTCTTTCTCTATAGTGCAGTACCTCAATGTTCAACAAAATCAAGAAGTAGTTCGGCAAGTTTAATGTGTTTTTTTTATACAATGTCCTTTTAAAGTGTTGCAATGTGGAGCAATGAGGGAGACGTGTTACTGTTAGGAATATCTTTAATTAAGTGTCTTAAGAACTAACTTACACTACTTACTTATAGGGCGAGTTGTCACACACACTACAGTGTAAATAAAACCTTGAAATCCATTTTAAAACGGCAAGCCCATCAAAAGTACCAGGGATACATAAGTCGCTACGTAGTAGAGACCACCGCGCCACTTGAGCGGCTGTTGACGACAAAAAGGAGGGAAAAAAATGTCGACGACGTAATACCGAGATGACAAATACTCCCGTTTTACACTACAGATGTATTTGAGCTGAAAAGTTGGATTATTTATTTCTCTTGCCTTTCCATTCTTTTGTTGGAGATGAAGAACTAAATGGATTTTTAGTTTTTTATTACAATGTTCGGTTATAAAAAGTTTTATAGACGATTTAATCATATTTTTACACCAAACATGATGTTAATATGACACAATTAAGGGGATAATGTGTTTTATTTCGTTTACATACTTTAAAAAGGTAATCAGAGAAAAAAGTTTGTAGTAAAAAATATCCACAAGCAAGAAAATTGAACTCGGTGTCCATGTATAAATTATAATTATACATACATAATATACCCACGCAGTGCACGTGTCTCTAACACACAATCCCATATATATATATATTATTATCAGGAAAACATAAAAGTACGATTTGAGCAGTGACGGAGCGACGTCATGGAATACCGAGTATAACGTCACTTCATGTAGGCACACTGAGATTCCACATATTTAACGACAGTTTTACGGTCGACTGGAGCCGAGCTGACTCAATGCCATGCTTGCTGAACGACCAGCCTTACCTCACCTCTAGAACTATCTTACCAACATAAAATTTACCGCACAGAGCTCTCGTTAACTGGGCATGCAGTCAAACTTTTCGTATAAGTGTGCCATTAAATGCATTCGATAGTTTTATTTAAGTGGAAATTTTCTAAGATTTATTTCAAAACAAAAGTGATTGCTATTTGATAGCATAGTATTTATCTTCGTCCAAGTTTCCTAATTAATCACATTGTTATTAAAGATTATTTTCGACAGACTGAGTTGAGCCTACGTATAACTCACAAAGTCAATATAAATATCAAAGATAAATATTTTTAAATGAATAATAAAATAAACAGTTTGAGTAGCACTCGAGACGGATCAAGCGAGAAAATTCGAAGAAAAACATATTTTTGTTACTTATTTCAGAAAACTTCTTAGAAAACTCACAAGAACATTCCCTTTGCTTTATATCAACTTAGATCTTAAGTGAACATAAAACAACACGTGGTGAAGTAAATGTTAGAACTGTGTAAGCCTCTTAATACTTAAAGGCTTTGCGAGTTTAGTGGAAATAAAATTAGGGCCATTCTCTCCACTGTATTATGTAAGAAGACACACGCCTTTTGTACATCTAACTACAGCCCACTCGCTAATCTAGGATACAAACGTAAACTAATTAACTGCGAAAATATGACCTCGACGAGACAAAACGGTATTAGTGGATTAAACGAGTATTCGTTCCATCCAACTTTGAATAGCCTGTTCAAAAACGATATTAGTTTAAAATTATTTCAGATATTCAAGGTCCAATTGTAAGCTGTTTTAAACACTTCAATTTCGTTATTCTGCCCAGCAATGTTAATCTCTACGATCCAATCAGCGCTCCATAACTTTATTATCGAAGAGTTTTAATCCTAATTAATGTTGTTCTTAGAAATAGGTATTGTGTCACAACAAATTGCTCTGCGGAACTTTATGTCACAGGATGCCATCAGTCTAACGATACTTCGTGATTACGGCTATTATCAACGATATATTTCTTCCTAATGGGTAATAGACTATTATGTTAGTAGCTTCTTCCAAGAAAATAAGATACAGAATTATCTGCGAGCATTCGGGTGGAACCGGTGGAATTTTCGCCCTATTTGCGCTTCTAAGGACCCATTAACTTTACGGTACATCTTGTTTAAGATGTTCAAAGGCTATTTTGTTTTAAGTGCAATAAAATCTGGCTCACAAACATAACAATGATAAACAAATTAGCGTGAGCTGATTTATGAAGCTGCTACATTGACGTAATCCCTTTGCTCAGAGCATACCATTGTTAAGGCCTTTTAACAAACAGATGGGGAGCATAATGGAAAACGCGAGTCACGGTGGTTCGCGCTTCCTGGCGTTGCGGCGGATTCTTACTCGTTCTATTAAGATCTTTGGGGTAGAATACACGCCAAGTACAAATGAAAACAAGTCATGAGCTGTTTTTCTTTCACTATTTAAACCCAACATAATTTGTTGTAGAAAAAAGTAATATGAAAAATAGCATGTTTACTTTTTATTGCCGTACCACCCATATTATGTTAAATACTTTGTTTGGAACAACGCTGTATCACTAACTGATGAAATTGTTACTGCCCACAAACACGGAAAACCAAAACCGAGTTTGTGTATCCTGTAATTAACACAAGCGGACCAGCCGACGGACTGAACCGAAATAATGAAGAGCACACTATATGGGTACTTGTGTACTTCTTTACTTATCGAGATTTCTCTTAGAGAGACCACCGATCCTTAAAATAGCTTATAGATAATTATAATCAGTGTAATATACTCAAGGTGGTTGCTTCAGTCGATAAATGCTCGAACCAAAAGTTTTTTTACATGCAATGTGATTTGGTTGTAGGTTATAGCAAAATAACAGCCCAATTTTTCCCTTTATTGACGTTCACATTTTACGATGCCAATAATGAAGTCATTCTGATCAAATGTGATGGATACTTAATACGATATGAGACCCTAAAACCGCGATGACATATATTTCGCGCCCAAATGACTTTCAATACGCAGTAACGTTAATGAAGACAAAGGTAAATCGTCATAAACATGCCTACAAAGCTTAATAACCTAATTTAAAAGCACTATTCTTGATAATGTTAAAACTAAACGCTACTGTTGACCACAGAGTACATAAAGCGAGCTCAAACGTTAGTACCAACGAGAACACTTTCAAATCACTCTGACAGAACGCCAGAACTAATCCGACCGAAGCCACAACACACGGAATAATGTCCGACCGCAAAACAGCTTTGTTACATACCACTGAATTTGTGCCTAGTCAAAAAAGTCAAGGTTGACTTACCACAAAGCTGACCACACTCCCACTACGAGTAATATAACGTATAAAGAATTTTTACCACTGTTTCATTGTTGGCCGCCATTCAAATGTGATCCGTTCGTCGGTACTGAAATTAACTTTATGCGGCATATGTTTCAAACAAGGTTTTATGATGTTGCCTTTTTTCATTTTATTGTATTTTTATACGCGTTTTAGGATAATTAAAACTTATGTAAACATGTTATTAAACAAATAATCAACACAACACTCTTGAGAATGAATGATATGTTTTGATTATCTTTATTATATTTGATTTGTTTGACTATTTACGGACAGTTGTCAAAGCAAAGCTTAAATCAATTAAAATGATAGCGATCATTAGGAGCGGCTCTGAAATCTATCAAGGGACTGGACCCATCGTCGATTAATTTAAACTCGAAGATTTCTCTTTGACATTCTAGTTCTCTTAACGAACATTATTAAATCAAATATTTTCTGTTGATTAAATACTCTGGTTTCTGTCGTTTGTACCTACAATATTTATTTTATTAATTAATTAATCACAAACTGGAATCGTGGCTTCGCTTATTCAAAGAACAGTTTAGATAATGAAAAAAAAATGTCTTAGTGGTGATTTCTTTTTGTTTTGTTTTTATATTATTTGTCATGTTTATTTGTGTTTAAGTTTATGTAACAAATAATTTCCTTAACTACCATTGCACGTGGTTCGAAAGGATATCGATGCTGGTGATCCTGCTGAACTGCGTGACGTTGGGCATGTACCAGCCATGCGTCGACGATCAGTGTGTAACGAATAGATGCAAAATACTACAGGTAAGCTATGTTACATTACACCGTATCATATACAGTCTTTTTAACAATCTCAAAAATCGAACATTAAAAAAGAGATCCCATAAACAATACAAACTTTTTAATCAAAAACGATTTCGGTCTTAACGCGTGCACTCTGTGAAATTAAAAAAAAAGAGAGAACACTGGCCACCGAGAAAAAATTGTGGAAGCTTGTTGGAGTGATTTTCTTTTGTTTTATTTATATTTACGCGCCAACGAATTTATTAGCTTGCTTAATTGGAATTCTTAATCTTTTTTATTCGTAATATCTCTAATTTTTACAAACAAGTTATTAAAATGTCTGTTGCAGGTTTTCGACGATATAATATTTGCGTTTTTCACGTTGGAAATGTCAATCAAAATGGTGGCGATGGGCGTTTATGGTCACGGAACATATTTAGCGGATTCGTGGAACAGACTGGATTTTTTCATTGTTATGGCTGGGTGCGTAACTAAATTTTATTTTATTAACTTAATTGTGTGTAATCACAATATTATAATACAATAATAGATCCTAATAGAGTAAACGTTTGATTTAGTTTGATTTGTTTTGAATTCCATACATGCAAACCTATTTCCATAATTAAATACGGGTTATGTAATTCTTTATTCATTTTTGCAGCGCTCTGGAATACGCTTTAAACGTGGAAAACATAAATTTATCAGCGATCAGGACGATCCGAGTGCTAAGACCATTACGAGCCATCAACAGGATACCAAGTAAGCAGCTTTTGAATTAAAAATTTAAGAAGATTGTCAATTTGAACACCTTTTTTATTGACCATACCATTGTTGGTGCAGTGTGTGGCTAAGCACTGACTGTTACGGCGTAGCAATATTATCTACGGAATATGTTGCGGGTTCGATTCCCGCACAGAACAATTCGTTTATGGTGCTATGGGCATCAACAACATTTTCTCATTTCCTAAAAAAATATAAATATTTTCGTCATGTCTAATATATTAGGTACGGGTCACAAGGTTCGATCATATGACATGTCTTTTGATAACATTTTTAAATTGATTATAGTCTTCCCCATTTGTTCAGTAAAAAGCTTATAATGGGGTAGACGACTAATTTTTATTTTAATGTCCGTCTGATAGATTATTTAAAAACATTAGACACGTATTTTTTATTTTCTCACAGAAACGAATAGTTTCGAAGATATATTGATTTGAAATGTCGCGTGACGTCACTTCTCAGTACATTTTATACTAAGGAATGACGTTTTAGCCCCTAACTTTGATTCGTTTTATCTAAGTATTGTTTTATTATACGACAAAATAAAAAAATACGTGTCTAATATTTTTTCATTACCTAACTTACGGACTAATTATATTTTTAATTTTCATACCCTGTCATCATCCCCATTATAATTACGTTATTTAATTGATTATTGGATTATATTTTAAATCTTAAATTATCTACAATTGCATTCCTTTTTCTTGAAAGTTAAAACGATGTATTTCAGTATGGTACTGAAAAAACAACAATTTGGTTTTTCGTAAACAAGGTGACTTTATCCCCTTTACCACATTAAAAACAAAGCAAATTGCTTTGTTTTTTGTTTCTAAAATGAATAATATATCCAAAATAATGACCATGGAATATTTCTATTTGAATTTTCATTACCTTCACAATCGCCGTGACATGCCATTTGGTCAAACCATGCAATTATTTAACGTAACTACACAGTGTAAAGCGTAATAAATTACTATTACCATAACTTTTTGACATCTGAAGGACTAGATACTTACTCATTTTAGTATAAGTATTAGTATAAAAACTGTCCTAGAAAACGAAAACTAATCTGTTCTTCAGTCACGCGTTTAACGAAATGTGCCTACCGACAAACGCTTTATTTTATTCATAAAACAGTAAAACAACCACAACAAACCACGCGTTTAATTACATTACGGTATACCATCAAAGAATTCTCTTTTATCAAAGCAACCCTAATTCAATATTCCTCTTTTGAATGCTGAACAAATAGTCTCTACCACATAATCCAACTGGATGGACGCAATAATTCATCCTATTAAATAGAATATTTTACGAAACCATTACGTTTGCAAAAATGTGCTCTTTATTTGATGTTGTAAACTTTTTCAGTGTTACATTGGAATAATTGAGCAATTTCATTGTTTCGGATCGCAGTGGTGGCACGGAGTCCAGAATTGTGCCCTTTATATAGCAATAGGCTCACACCTTATTACATGGGACTCTCAACATAAATAGTGAAAAGTGGGTGTTACATTGTACACTGGCACTAAGTGCCGTATGTGCACCTCTGTCTACAAACTGCCTGTGATAAAAGGCTTGATGTTATGTTATATAATATATTCTGATATTTATGAAAAGTGACTCAGTTATAAATTTATTGCAATAACTGCAAATGAAATTTACCGTGAGCTCATTAACTTGTTAGACACCAACACAACTATGTACAACGATTATTTTATAGGAAATAATAAATTAGCTTTTTGCTGTGGTCGAAATTGGATACACTTCAGTTTTTATTAATAGATATGATAATATAACACAGGCTACTATTAGACCTTTTCTAAGCGAATGAAGCGGTAAGCGTTAAATATGTACACCATGAGCCTTTTCGTATACAGGGGGCATAATGGCGGGAAAATTCGTGTAATATTTCCCCGTAATAGCCACCAACCTTTAACCCTCGCGTAGTTACACTAAATTGTTAAAAGAAAATTACAAAAGGAACAGTTTGAAAGAATTGAAGTGCTTTTTATTGCTATTAACAAGAGCTTTCTTGCTGTAAACCTCGGTGCTAAACTGAGGAGAGCTCTTAAAACGAGAACCCTTTTACTTTGGTGACCCGCACTACCGGCTTTGTTACGTGCAGGTAATTTATTACGTATTTATTTATAGGACTGGGCCCTTTTCACTAGGAGTAGGTTTATTTAGGTATCAAACAAAATATATACCAACGAAATATTAGACCATTTTATTAGGGTCCTGGGAATAATGTCACGTAAAGGACGGCCGGTAACTCTGTATGTACTCGTATGTTTGTGACGATAATATATTTGCATAATAAGTTAGTGTTGAAATCTCGTGATACTTCACTCCTGATATTAACTTGAATAATAACTTTGGGGTAAACATTAAGCTTAACGTACCCCGTTTGATAAAACTTCAAAATTAAATATGGCCGCCCGTTATTTGCAGTGCTGATACGAGACACGATTTCTTTGGTTTGTTTATTTATTTCATGTTATACAGCGTTTAATTAAACCACGAAACATTATGAAGATTTTAATTAAACTCATGAATTTATTCACATACATTCTTAAAATAGAACCAGTTGAAGAAATTCAGGTAAATTGGTGGCTTATGATATGATCTACAATAACGTGTGGACTGACAAAAGCTTTTATAATATTTCCGAGGCAGTCAAACATGCGCTATACTTAGCCTAATGAAATCCCAGCGTACAAAGCTATCGCACAAAAGAAGTCTATATTCTGTGGGTACTTATAGAAATTAACCCGAGTCAGAACAGAATCAGAAGCGAGCGTGGGCGGCAATCGATCCGCGCAACAAGTGAGACGGGCTCAGCAAGCCACTGCGTCTGCTACAGATTATCTTACCCTCGGAAATATGAACAGAATTGAAAATCGAGGATAGTAATGTGATAGACTGATAGCACAAAGTAGGTTTTTGGAATTTATAATCAATACTTTAGGACGACGAATATATACATGTGCATGCCATTTTGTTAACGAAACAAAAGCTTTAAAAACTAAAATTTTACTCAACTGTAAGTAAAAATATCATGAATTGGTCACCAATTTAACATAAATATCAATAAATGTGTAGGTATTCAAAATTACATAGCAGATTGTATGGTTTTCACTAGATCACTGATTAACCTTACGTAAAGGGGCTGCCCACGCTACTATTCAAACAAGATTTCAGTCCCGTAAACCATTCTTTATTAACAACAAGCTACGCCCCAGACACATAAGTATTTTTTTATTTTACTTCTAGCATCATCTATGACGTCTTCGAATCGAATCCTTATTCGATTACGGAGGTTCCTCCGAATATCAACGGACTGTCCGTTGATATTTGGAACACTGTGACCTTCTTATAGTAAATACTGCCATAAGTAATGAAATAACGCCTGCCTGTCATTTCTGAGTACAATACTTTTGCCTTAAGACACTTGAGTATTTGGGACAAGAGCGGGCAGCTCTTGTACCTGCTTAGTTGGATACGACGATTGCCACTTGTTACAATTTGTCACAAAATCCAATGCTAATATCGGAAAAATGGAAATCTAGTCCAAAGAGCAAATATGAAAACACAGCATTATTTGCAATCGCAGAATTGAATCGAAATTTTTAATTTAACAACAATCATGTTCAAAGAACATGGACTTGAAAACAGGAATAAACCATAAAACCTTTCACATTTTAGTAGAAATGCGCTAATACAAAATGGCTGTAAGTTTTGCGAACATTCAGCCATCTGTATGTCGAACAAAGAGCTAGGTAATAGGCAACCTCTTTTGACGAAGCTGTGGCAAAAGACAAGACGAGAGAAAATAAATGCAAAGCTAAAATTTAAACACAGTACCACTGTTTCAATTACAGTTATATGAAGTCTCGTTCGTGTGTACATGGAAAGGGTTCTGTGGTTACATAATATGTATTTAAATAGCTCTACTTAACCAACGTGCTACGAAAATTTCTGATTCCAGAATTAATTTAGAAGTAAGTAGTGTTGAACGTGCTAGTGCATACAAATTAGATAGGATTTTCAGTTTGCGAAACCGTGCAAGTTTCATTCAACTGTTGCTTTAAATAATGACCCTAATAATGATGACTATCGCGTTTGTCGCACAGGATGACCCTAAACTACCTACAGACATTAATCAAGCTTTAATTATACCAGACCCTTAACGTTTACAAGACGGAAATTTTCTCAGCAAGGGTACTCCTTAATCTACTCCTCACGTACCTGTTTGCCTTCTTTATCTCGATATACATTACTTGTTGATTTTATCTAAATTAGGCGAAGAAGCCTTAATAATTTAGTTAGGTCGGAGCTCGGGGTTATGTTATAGCTTTTTTTTTAAATATTATAGACTCTAAACAATGAGACGCTGGATTTTAAAGAATATTTTTAATATCATTTGGTATAAACCAAGCGGTATTTTTGTGTTCGTCCTTAGTTTACTATATGTGTAGGTATGTACAAAATGTAACAATACAAAGTTTTGTTTGTATTTGCATATTGTTAGATGTAAACACAAGTTGGGTAACAAGGATTTACGGTAGACACAGTCAAAAGTAACATTGCATTCAGAAACAACATTGAAATTCAATAATAAATCACGACAGCAGCGCGGACGGTCGTGACTTCCAAACGGTTAGCATTGAACATTCAAACAAAAGACGGGCTCTAGCTAAAGTTTCGCACAAAACCCCATCTGGGGCTCGCAAACAACTGGGACAATGCAATTCTGCCGCAAATTAAATCGTGCCACACGCGCCCGCGGTTACACATACATCGGCACTAATTTGCCCTCGCACAATTTATTGCTCCCACGTGCCTTTTTATTCCGTTAAATTGAAACATACATTTTGATTTGCATCCTAATTCGACACGCGAGCATCACCTAACGTGTTTATCAACATGTTCGTTGAATGTACAAAATCTAACATTTAGTTCAGGAATAACAAACTTACTGTGGAGCACTAGTTAATCCTCTTTAGACAGAGTCCGCTGAGCTGTAAAACAAATTAATTGAAATCCATCTGTATATTCATGCAAAACTGCATTTCAGCGGTTCCTAGATCAAATTACTGTGCACGGAAAATGACTAGGGAAATGTGAATATATTTTTTTGAGTCACTAAGTACTGTAGAATATCATCAACTAAATTAATTTCCTTCATTTGCTTTGTAAGACTTCAATAATATCAAGACCACAATATTATTATATTCCCGTTAATTGTAATTACCCGATATTACCTCCTAAATGAAAACAATAACATCCTTTGTCCCAATATAATAATAATAGTTCACCCATATAATATGAAGAGCTGTTTCTTTTACTAAATATCATTTCTATTTTCGCAGGTATGCGTATCTTGGTGATGCTTTTACTGGACACGTTGCCTATGTTAGGAAACGTTTTGCTGTTGTGTTTCTTCGTATTCTTCATATTCGGTATCGTGGGTGTACAACTATGGGAAGGAATTCTAAGACAACGCTGCGAATTCGTCCCCCCACCAAATGTAATACGACCCAAGTAAGTATCTCTAATTTACTCAAATAACCAAGGTGCAGTAATGAGACCAGTTGTAACTCCAATCTCCTACGGTCACCCTGGTATTACCTTTGATATAACTTAACAGTAATCGTTTATTTGTATTGAATTATTAAATACCCGAATTTGTAATGACTCAGCATATTGAGTGGCAATGTTTGAACTTTGTGGATGAAATTGCAGTTGAAATGACTTTTTCATTTGTTCCATTTGCTCGAGAGCGCTCGTCTTAGCGGCACGTCCCATTGCTAATGTTGACTGCATGCAATATTTAATGCTTATATCCTCGGCGAGCATATCCATCGCTGCTCTGTACATCATTTTGACGTTTTGTATTTTGTCATTGCATATTGTTTTTTCATTGTTACTAACATTATAATTAACGCGCATGTTGAGAAATTCAGCTTACAACCGAATTACTTACAACACACTTAAATATTGCATTCTGTCAACACTCACATTATAAGTAAAATGTAACTGATTACACTAACAGACCGAACCATTCGACAATGTAGTAATACATGTCAATATCTCTCCACTCTCGGTATTCCATTCAGACTTATGTATGTATAACAATTACATAATCACTACATTTAGTGGTTCTAAACATACCCACCCAGACATAGTACAATGTAGAAATAACCGTCATAGCAAACATGAACCAATAATAACCGTTCATAGTGAATACTTAACAAAACATCTAGATTTAGAACAAATAGTTACAATCAAGATTCAACCAACAATGTACTTTCATGTAAAACGATATTATTTTAGCAAGATGACGTTTAATTAAATTCTCATGTATGAAAGCACATTGTTGGGAAATTTAACCTTACAGACGTGTAGATGTAAACTTAGGTACATAACACCCGTCACCGTACCTCATTTATGTTCCAGAGACCTGTCCGATTGGTACAGAGTGCGCGTCAGAGTGAACTCGTAAGGATTTGCGATCAAAATTAATGTGTTTCTATTAAGAACATTGCGAACTGTTGTATCGTGTACCTTCACACATCTGCCGTCCAGATGTGCTATCGTATTTGCTTCCCCTTCACGAATTGGCAGTTTCAATGAGACATTAGGTCTCTTATTTACTTGTCGCTATCTAAATAATATCACACATCATTTGTAAATCTATTGTGAACTGCCGATTTGTTTCTGATCCAATTCAATGGGTAGATCTATCAACTTTTCTGAAACGTACAAAACACTATTTCCTTTATTTATGATTTCGCAAAATTGTTCAAAGACAGTAATTTTATATGTAAATACATTTTTATTCTTTTACGAATACTGTCAAAATATTCTTACCACAACTTCTTCATCTACAGGTGAAATACAAACTACCAACTTACACATCAACTTTACATTTTTTCATAATTCATTGAAGAACAAAGTCAAAGTTTTAAATGATTATAACCTGTTCAGCTTTATTTTACCTATTGTTTTATCGCCTATAAATCATTACATTATTTGTTTAACCAATATTTTATCCTAACCCAAAATAACATTAAACTGTTATTCCCAAACGCATAAGACATGCAGTGTTGGAAAAGCTTTGCACGTTGGGTCGTTAAACAGATAGAAGTTTGAAGTATCCACGATACATTATACTGGAAAGTTGGCGACCACAATAAAAGCCTTATAGCTATCATCAAGAACAAACCCCGTAACGACCGGGCGCCAAATGATGTGGGTTACGGCCAGTGCTCGTGTTTCTATGTACCTTCTGTCGTTAAACCATAATGACCCAAAGGCTACTGACGTTAATCTGCCCCGCCGATACTCGCCAGACTTTCCCCAGCCGTCTTTACTACGGCAACCATTAACATTAATTGGGACTGCTATTGATCCTTAACTCCTTTCTACGCTTCCGTACTCGCATGGTGTCTGCATGCATCGTATGTTCGTTGTATCTTATAACACTGGTCAACACTGATTTTGCCACACGAACTTTGATAGCTAATTTTGTTTTATCAATCTACCCTCATCATTAAATCACAGTTTTCATTTGTCTGTTAGCCTCATATTTGTTGTGATACGGTAATACTCATAACTAGTACTACGGCGGTAAATTAACAGAAACGCTCACAAGTAAATCGTCATAAAAGTATTTGTAGTTGAATTTGAATATTTTTTGTGATTTATTAATCCTGTGAACATGTCGAGGAAGTGTAAAAATAACCCTAACTCTTTTTGTTATATCTGCGGAGAACTTACATTCAAAAAACAACGACGAAATTTTACGAATCTTGTGCTGGAGTGTTATCACCAATGTTTTGGTTTTTCTGTCGCCCATCAAGACAAATTCTGGGCCCCTCATGTCTGTTGCATAACGTGTGTGAAAAATTTAACCGACTGGAAGAAAGGTGCACGAGCTATGCCTTTTGCTGTACCCATGATATGGACTGAACAGCGAGATCACGTTTCGGATTGCTATTTTTGTCTCACTGACTTAAAAGGTATAAATTACAAGAAAAAAAAAACAGTTATCTACCCTAACGTATCTTCTGCTATAAGACCAGTCTCTCATTGTAAAAAAATGCCAGAACTAATACCAGTTGCAACAACGTCTGATAACGACCATTCACAACCGTCTACTTCAAGTCGGTCTTTTGACGAGAATGATGACTTTGAGTTTGAAGGAATTGAAAAGGAGCCACATTTGATAACTCAAGGAGACCTAAATGATTTGGTTAGGGATTTAAATTTGTCAAAAAAGCAGTCGGAACTATTAGGATCTCGGCTAAAAGAATGGAATTTGCTACATCATAATACAAAAGTTAGCTATTTTCGAAACCGTGATGAACACTTCAGAACGTATTTTTCTCAGGATGGAGATTTGGTGTTTTGCAATAACATAAATGAGATCATGAAAATGTTGGACATAGATTTTGAAATCTCTCAGTGGCGTTTATTTATTGATTCTTCGAAGGCAAGTCTAAAAGCAGTTTTATTGCATAATGGAAATATGCTTCCGTCTGTTCCTGTGGCCCATGCTTCAAATATGAAAGAAACCTATGAAAATATGAAAGTTTTACTTGAAAAAATAAATTACAGTACATATTCCTTCAAAATCTGCGGTGATCTTAAAGTTGTTGCATTATTACTTGGACTTCAGCTGGGTTATACAAAATTTTGCTGTTTTTTATGTGAATGGGATAGCCGAGACAGAACTAATCACTATATAAAAAAAACATGGCCTATGCGTGCATCGTTAGTTCCTGGCCAAAAAAATGTAAAGTATTTACCCCTTGTAGAGCCAAATAATGTGCTTTTACCACCATTGCATATCAAATTAGGATTAATAAAAAATTTTGTGAAGGGAATGGATCGCAGTGGGAGTGGATTTTTGTACCTAAAAGAAAAATTCCCTAAAATAAGTGATGCAAAAATAAAAGAGGGTATTTTTTTGGCCCTCAAATCAGGGAGTTAATAAAAGATTCAACATTTGAAGAAAAATTAAGCGGTTTAGAAAAATGTGCATGGAACGCATTTAAAAATGTTGTTGCAAATTTTTTGGGCAACCACAAGAGTGACATCTACAGAGAGTTGGTTAGCGAGCTCTTATTGTTATATCAAGCATTGGGTTGCAACATGTCACTCAAGATCCATTTTTTAGACTCGCACCTGGATTTTTTTTCCTGACAATTTAGGGGCTGTCAGTGACGAGCACGGCGAGAGGTTCCACCAGGACATTTCTAGTATGGAAAAGCGGTACCAGGGAAAATGGAGCCCAAATATGTTAGCGGATTACTGCTGGACAATTAAAAGGGACCAACCAGAAGCTAAACATTCAAGAAAATCTTAAATTATTAAGTAATTTATATATAAAAAAAGTTTGATTTACGAGATCTGTATTTTTTCTTAATATTTTTAATTACTCAATAGAATAAAATCCTTGGCTAGCAAATTTTTTTTAACTGTTTATCTTTTCTTACAATCACCAACTAAAGTAAAAAATATCAAAAAAGTCCGTGTGGCACGAAAAAGTTTGAATTTTGTTGACCAGTGTAATCAATGTTTCTCCATCTGCATGGATATTAGAAGTAGATAATTCGATATTCAGTGTTCTCTGTGTTTAATACCTACAGACCAGTTTTTGAATGTCAGATATCAATTTAATTATAAAATAGCTATCAATTGTTACAAATAAAACCAAATGAATGGTTTAAAAATTATTTGGAAAAAAAATACATAATTGATTATTCCAAATTTGAAGTTACTAACCCAGTTAGAAGCCATTTGCATTTAGATGATCAACTAATAACTTTCATTTTTGTTTCCATAATATGTAGATGATTCAACCAAATACATTCAAATCAACCCCAAACTTAACATACAACACACATTCAAAATCGGTTCTATGTGTAAAAAACTAAATGAACAACAGAACACATTCAAAAATATTTATTCGTTTTGCAGTATATCATTCTACTACGAGTTCTCAAAGGAGTTGGACTACATTTGCACGACACCCGAAGACAATGGCATGCACACATGCGGCAACTTCCCTCCATATAGATACGGGGCTCTTGTGTGTAACGAGACTGCCAAGCCTTTCTCGTACAATCGACCCACAAATACATCGTGTGTCAATTGGAATCAGTATTACACTAACTGTACTCAAAGAGGAAATAACCCCTTTCAGGGGACAATTTCGTTCGACAACATTGGTCTCGCCTGGGTCGCTATTTTCTTGGTGAGACAACCTATTTGGAAAATGTTTTACTACGGTTTTATTGGAACAAGGGATAGAATGATAGTGTTTTTATCTTTGTAGGTGATTTCTCTAGAAGGCTGGACGGACATCATGTATTATGTGCAAGACGCGCATAGTTTTTGGGATTGGATTTACTTCGTGTTGCTAATTGTGGTTGGTAACTTTAATTTATAAATTCATTTACTTCTCCACCGCTCATAAATATAGACAGCCATTTTTGTACACATCCAATCAAATATGAATGAAAACGGTCATAAACTAGAATTACAATAAAATTCCCCAAAAAATGGAATAAAAACAAAAATGATACGACCATAACAATAACATTAGTTTGACAAAAACTGGAACGATCAGTCAACTTCGGTATAACGGTCCCATTATCTCATAAACACATATTTGTCTTATAGATCGGATCGTTTTTCATGATCAACCTCTGCCTAGTCGTAATAGCGACACAGTTCAGTGAGACGAAAAAACGAGAGATGGAACGAATGAGGGCCGAACGTGCCCGATTCACGTCAACATCAACGCTTGCGTCATCAACCAACAACAGTGAACCAGCTACGTGTTACGCTGAGATTGTCAAATACGTTGCACATTTGTGGAGGCGATTTAAAAGAAGAATGGCTAAGAAGATCAGGTTAGTAAGAATTGGTCATGTAAATGTATTTAATAAAAAAAACACAATATAAGTAATTTACAATGATTACTGGCGAAAGTAACATATATACATAAGTACTAGACACACTGAATAAACATAAACTACTCACGAATAGCCAAACCAGATCTTAAAGTTATAATTTAAATTTATACGATTCACATCGTTATAAACCAACCAAAAAAGTACAGTTTAACTGAAACAATTGTACAACCCTCTCAGATATAGAACCGCACGGACATTACTCAATTTTAATATCACTTCCTTATTCGCAATCTATTTCAGATGTATCGCAAATGCTCTCTCAAGTCCGTAAATTACTGCCAGTATTATTTCCTTTCCTAGAACTACAATATTTATACTAATGCCCGGTATTAACAATGCAAATGCCGATGAACGACGATGTTCGTCGAATGGCTAGGATACTCTTTATAAATACTCACAATAAAAGTTATTTCAGTACTCTGTAAATGATATCGTTCTTGCTTTCCATGGAATTTTCTTTGAGATCTTTTTTATTTTATTATGCTGCTAATTTCACCTAAGAATTTATCGTGTATTTTATGTTTGTATAGGGTGTATCGATATCAACGTGCCCAATTGCGATGGCGGACTAGCAGAGAGACTCTTCAGTTACCTGCAAATAAACCAAAACAACATCATCCTTGTTGCCCACGAGTGCATCCACAGGTACTGAGTGGTTATTTTAGAAGAAGCTGTTAACATAACGAGTTCTTTTCTTCTTCTTCTACTTTGTTAGACGTAACCTAAAATTAATCGTTCTACATATTTTGGTACAAAGTTCATCAGCTCATTACAAAATTCAAGATTGCTTCGAAAATCTTCATCGAGCGATGGTAATGAATTTGGAAATCATAACTCTCAAAGTTTCCGTGCATCCCACCGGTCTTAAGAAGCAGGGCTTATAATAAAATATTCGTGAAGTCTTACAAAGCCGCTTTCGTGTCGAGGGCATGTATTGTTTGACACAGCGTCATTATGACGCTTCCACATGTTAAGCTTTAACGACATTTGAGACACATAAACATGCCCTACATAATATTCAAAACAATGGCGTTATAATCAATGTCAAAATGTGAGTAGGTTGCATTAATTTAAGTAATTAAATATTTATTGCTGAACATAATGTCCTCGTTTTTTGCTCGTTAGAACTGGTTTTCGGACACAACAATGTTTCTAAGTGGATATTTAACTAAATTTAACTAATAGGATATACCTTTTCTGTGCATTTAATTATACATTGTCAAAGGGCTGGTAGTATTAAAATTATATAACCGCTCCTTGATCGATTTGCATGAAAAACACAATCGAGCTACTAAAAAATATTCTAACCTTCACATTAAACCTGATATAATGACAAGTTCAAATATATTTTCGATTCAAAAATATCATAAATAATTAATGTACTCTTAAATCTTAGTCTCTCACCGTGAGTTTACTTTTATATTAGAAAATATTTTGTTCGTAGAAAGTCGTAGCACTTTGCTACGAAGTTGCTACGAGATTTTTTTGACTTTTATAAGCAACTGATTCTAATCATGGTTAGATAATATTCACATGAATTATGGTATCGCAGTAAAACATATTTATGAAAATAGAAACTTATAAGCGTGTAGCACTCTGATACTGATATCAAAGCTTAAAAGCAAATACAATGATCAATTTAGAATCAATTATGATGCATAAAATAGCGATAAATGTTTTATATCGTAATAATTGAGGCATTCATTTCAAAAGTATAAAATTAACATTATTCACTTAAACTGTTGATGATTGATTTTACCCTTCTAATTTAGTCTATACCTGTACCAGGGTAACGGCGGTAAGAGCGTGAGTGAGGAAGGTAGCGGCGGCGCGGGGCCCGAGGAGCCTCTCAGTCGACCGAGCCTGTTGCGCGTACCTTCATTGTCTGCCGCCGACCTTGAGGTAATGCTCAAATTACTGCATTTAACTGTTCTTACTTTCTACAAAAAGCAAGATATTCTAAACAGTTGAGATAACTTAATTCTATAGTATACATTTAACTTGAATATCAATTATGATATACAATTATAATCCTAATAATGTTAAACTATTTTGAAAAAAAATTATATGATTTCAGAAACTGAAAAATTAATAAAATTTAGTTAACAAAGTTTAGCATTAGGTATTTATAGAGGAATCGAATAGATTTAGACAGCTAGCAAATAAAAACTTATGTACACTCGAAGTACGGACTAAACCATTATTTTTATCAGACAGTCCCTCTCGTTTTAACGTATGATAAGGGTAGCAATGTAAACGATTTAGTAAACTGATCATACTTGATTGTAAAGAGCCGTTTAGACGACCCTGCCTGTTGCGCGCACCCTCGCTCTTCATTATACATCTCGAAGAGAAACCAAAAGGTTTATTAAATGTTATACTAACCTAGTGTTACTTTTGAAGAGAGATAATGTTGTAGTTATAATCTTTTTTTTATAAACTTACGTGAAACGAAGTGTAAGACAGTACATGAAAACGTATGCAACTTGAAATCTTTCTTCTAATATCTTATTTTCTTGAAGATTTAATATAAAATAGTAATAATATTTGCACTACATAACATTTTTCTTAAACGAAATATACTATTTACATTTGACTATGTAAAGCGTGTACCAGTGAGTCTCCATAAACTTGATTGACTTGCAATTAACCCATTTGGGACCAAATGCAAACTACACATAATTTAATAAAAAAAACTTTATTAACTCAATGATATGACGCCCACAAACTATAATCAGCAAAAAAAATTCAAAAAATATTTTTAGAAGTATTAAAAAAAAAGCCGTCCTTGATTGGGGACAACGGTCTCATGTGTAGTACTTTTCGAAGTAGTAACTGTTTTCGACACATAAGATTCTAACGCATTATTTGCATTGATATCACAGTTTTTTTATGACGAACTGCGTATCGTAACAGATATTAACTAAATCTCTGCGGAAAATGTCTAAATCTATTTGATGTGACGCGCCTATATTTTTTTTAAGGTATAAATCATGCATTGCGTTTTCCGCCTGGGGACTCTTACTGGCTAAAAACCAACACGTTCCTAATTCTGCTTCAAGCCGAAGCCCCGGTGACCCACTAGGTTATTCATAGTAGTCGGGCATCTGTCTCGCTGAACCATCTCGATCTAAGGCGGTCTGGTCTGCACTTTGAAGCACGCGCGTAACGCCACGCACCTTACAGGTACAGGTCTGGTTCTGGGCGGCGATCTGTTCTTGCTACTATGACTGCTTCGCAGAAAGAGATGTTTTCCAGTTCCCCTCGCTCCGCACCACAGCCAGAACCTAAGCTGGACGTGGAAGATTATCGTCGTCGATCACTTCCCTGAAGACACGGCGGTGGTCAACATATACAGGGCATAATGCTACTCTATCCTCTGGGTGGACTTCGCTGTGACGACACCAGAATACAGCTGGAGGAAATGCCCCCTACTGCTGAATTCTGGTATCGGATGCGACGCCTGGTACTGTAGGTGGACTTTTGCATCTTCGGTCTTGATGCCCATCAGATTTTAGAATATGAACGCGTAAAGATATGTGGGAATTGGTGATGCTCTTCGTGAATTAGTGTCTGTTGTCACCAAGTATTAGCTATAACTAAGTTTAGCCTATAGGTGACCTTTATAAATTGGAAAACAAAATACAAATCAGGTATAAATGTTTTAAAAATATACTACAGATGTGCCCATTGTCCCCATACGGGGACACCATAATTTTTTCTAACTTTCCCCTAAGTGAAATTGAAAGTATAAGGATATTCTTCAATATTGTTTTAATTGACACTATACGCAAGCAATAATCACAAAAAAGTTTTATAAATCTACATAATAACGTATTATAAAACGCCTCTGCTTTCAATAATAATTCCCATTTCACTTCCTCTTGATAAAATTGACAATATGACCCCTTTTTTGTAGCAATTTGTCAAAAGTACTAATAATTTTAGGAAAGTACACTACTCCTCATTATAAATACCCATGAAATGTGAAGATAGCTAAAATAATTAATAACCGGCGGGTAAAAGAAAACCTGTCCCCATATGGGGACGGCGGGCTCAAATGGGTTAAATAAATAACTGTCAATATAGAATGCATCAAACCTGTCACTCCTGTCGCCGCCATCCCTGGCACGTCGAAGGTCATCAGTGATGTTCAGCGATACTGTACTACTTCACACTCCGACTGCACCGCACGGAGCACATCCACACAATGTATGCTCTTCTGAGAAAATGACACAAACAGGTAAATACATAAAACTACGTTACTATAAAACATATGATTAAAAGATATTAAAGCTTGTAAAAAAGCACATGTGCTTTGATAAGACCACAATTTATATTAAAAGATATAAATATATTCCGATATTATGTATTAACGAGTATACCCTATTAAAATGCTTATTTCTGCAAACATTTTGTGTAGAATTTGATTGATATTTTCATAAAATTTTCTTGATTTTGCTCTTGTGTAAAAATCTACTCGTGTATCTGTATGTATTTGGATAATGCTGTTGATCATTAATAATATTATTATCAGTAACGATGGCTGAGCTTAAAACAATGTCTTCAAAATGTTTCGACCACACCTTTACAAACATGAAAGCACCTCCTACGCTAGTAAGAAATAGTAGCTACTTACTTTACCTGTTGCCTATTGTACACACTAGAAACTTTCCCCATCTCAGTGCGAACAAATTCCAACTTGTGAATATACAACAAAACACTGTACATTCAATAGTGTTAAAACTTTTTAACAATTCCAATGAATATTTGTAGATTCATTGTGTCAGCGTGACTGGCTTAAGAGCCAAAGTGGTGAGTCTAGGAGCCGGTAGATCTAGACGACGCTATTAGACGGGCATGTGCAATGCAATCTCTACTCAATTTCTTGCTTCTCCTTCCTCTACTTCTTCATAGAAATACCTAGATAGGACTAGGAACTAAATCAAATACAAATATTTCCACATTTGATATTCGCTTCTCCCCTTCTCAGCATAGGTCTAGCCTCCTACACTTTTGAGACCTGATTTACATACAAAAATCTTTAATCTTCCTTGAGTTATCTATTTTACCTCGAAAACATCTTGTTGTATTCCTTTGAGGTTCTTAAATCATTTCTTAGAAAAATGTTCTTTAGCTTAATGGCCAACCTGGGAGTTGAGTAGAAACTATACATATTTAATAATACTGAACTGATTAGGACGAAATTGTGGGACGGGTTGAGGCCGAGGGAAAATCATATTTTTATGAACTTACATATTATTCAGAAGCCGAAACAAATTAGTTGCCCCACTTTCCATTTGCGGGCTTGTGATTTAGTGATGGGCGGCATTAATGATTATCACTATAAATAAATTAGAAGAAGAGTAAAAAATATTATAAGGAACATTAATAAAACAAGATGTTTTCGAGTGACTAGAAGAGAGTGTGTGTGTCTTAGTCAGTGTGCTGTAGTGTCACTTGTTTGGGGGCGTAGAGTTCGACCTGCCGACAGGCGACACGGCGGAGGATCGCGCGGCGGCGGGCGGCACCATGTCCTGTCAGGAACTACTGGCGCTCTCCGGCGCACTGTCCGCCGCCCTGCCTACTGGACAAGTCGCTCTGGACTCCTTTTTCGAAGAACTCACTAAGGGCATCAGCAAGAGAGCCGGTGAAGAGAAAATTGATACAAGGGTACGTAATGAATGACTAATAAAATTATCTAAATTGCACTCCACCATTTTACTATTTCTTGAAAAGTAAATTATTATTGAAAAAAGTTAATTTAAATTATTAATTAAAATTCTAACAAGTAAATTTTTGCTATGTGAATTAAATAAATACTAATTTATCGCCTTCTAAGCTACAAAAAACAAATCAATTTAACGAAATAAAATAATTCATTGTGTTAGTCTCGCTCGCCAGCTTCAGCAAATAATACATCAATTATATTCACAGCGTTCCTCGACGTACATGAAACTAAATTAATTAAAGTAAAACTTGCACAATTTATAACCAGGCCACGATGTATCTGTCATCGTAAAGTCTTCATTGGAAAATTTAATAGCAACTGGTACAAAGTTATATTTCATTTTACGTAACTTTCAAGTAAAGACTATTTTACGATGATAAATTGAAATATGAATCGGTATACGTTCAAATGTAATAAGTGTTTAACTTGCTTCTGAGAGTTATTATACAAAGATTAATTCTACACATTTATTTTTTAGAATGTTATTAGCAATAGATAGCAACTCTCAGATCTCATATTTCGAGATTCTAAAGAATTCACTTAGTCAAAGCCATATTTGTTATACTCAAATAATTCAAGCTTACATAACTAACGATACTAATAAAAAATCTGTAATCTATACCCATTAATAAAGATAATAAAGTTAATTTTCCTGTATCTTGTTTATGAATTAGATCGTGGAAATAGAAGACTTCTCGTGCTGCGCAGAGCTGATCGCGGCCGAAGCAGCTGCTAAAGAAACTCGCAAAAGTCGCATAAGTAATATATGTTCCAAATTCTGGAATAGAATATCTAAAGGACTGTCTATACTTAGAAAGAAGATCAAATTCATTGCCGACCACAAGTACTTTCAACAAGGTGAGTTGTACCATAGTTGTACTATATATTGACACCATGTTGTTTACCAAGTGGAATTACATCCTAATATATGCCATTATAAGTTTTGTCCACAATTAGAAACACGCCAAAAGAAGGATTATAATAATATGGCTTTCTATAATGACAGGAGCATTAGAAATATTGTTAGAGAAACAAATACTTGACTGTTTAGGATTGACTGCACGGTTGGTGCGGTGTCTGGGCAACCGGCTTCCGCGCAACGTGTCGCGGGTTCGATTCCTGCACGGAACAACTCTTTGTGTAATCCACAAATTGTTGTTTCGGGTCTGGGTGTTATGTGTATGTGAACTTATATGTTTGTAAACGCACGCACCCACGACACAGGAGAAAATCCTAGTGTCGGGCAACGTATTTTTAAAAAAGAAAGAAAGAAATATAGCTTTATATTTTACTAGCATTTTATTATTATCGGCAATTCATCCTATTGTACTAGATGTCTTACAACTGTAATTTTCAGGTATATTGTTGGCGATCCTCATCAATACGTTGTCAATGGGCATTGAGTATCACAATCAGCCGGAGGAGCTCACAGTGATCGTAGAGATCAGTAACATTGTGTTCTCCGCAATATTCGCTGTAGAGATGCTTCTTAAGATTATAGCTGAAGGTCCATTCAAGTATATATCCAACGGATTCAACGTATTCGACGGCATTATTGTCATACTCAGGTAAAATTCTTATGTAACCAGTTTAAATAACACGTTAGTAATCAAAACTTTAAAACAAAAACGATGTCATTTAAATAAATGCTATTGTTGAAATATTTTTCATCAAAATGTAAGTAATTGTAAAATTATAATTTACAAATAAAAACATTGAAATAAAACTTTTGTGGAGCTCGTAAAAATGTTATACGTGGCACTTTAATTCTGTGTAACAAATAAAGTATCAAAGAAAAATACTTTATACACATGAGAGTAGACACGAACCGAACGAGTATTAAAACACAGCGTAGTACCCGTACTACCAAATTACATGGATTAAAGTAAAGCCATATGAAAAATTCAATACGACCTGCTTTTAGATATTGTTTCTTTGTAATTTATTACAATTTGTTTGAGATATTCGATGTACTTTGTACAGCTAATCGTATTGTTTATTAAATTACCAAGAATGCTTGTTTGCACCTGGTCCTACATTATAATTTAAGTCCTGTCCTCGAAGGTTTAAAGGACAATGAGAAATATTGGTCTCGATGCCTCGCCTCGGTGGCCTCACTCAGGGGTGTCCGTAATTGACTATTTGTGGTTTTGAACCCGGGCTCCGATGTGCGAGTAATATAATGGTGATTCACCCCTGCTACAAGTACATTTAGCTTCGTGACGCACGAACAGAGATAAATCACTTAATTCAGTTTACTTGAATTTAGAAAACAACGCTGCTAACTCCTTGTTATATTAAATATCTTTGTTATGATGAATAACGCAGGGCTGCTTGCTATTTAGATTAATATTTTTCAAATGAGCTAATTTGTTTCAATTTAATTTATAAGATTTTTCGTTTCTTCATAACAGTGCATTTGAACTGGCACATAGCGTTGGGCAAGAAAAAGACATGGCTGGCAATTCAGGACTTTCTGTCCTCCGTACATTTCGCCTGTTGCGCATACTAAAGCTGGTCAGGTTCATGCCCAACCTGCGCCGGCAACTGTTCGTCATGCTCCGCACTATGGACAACGTCGCCGTCTTCTTCTCGCTACTTGTACTATTTATCTTCATATTCAGGTAAATATCACACTTATTATGTATCTTAGTTCAAACCACGGAGACAGATCAGGTTTTGTAAAATGAACCATAAAGTAAAGGTAATCTAAACGAAACAATAAAGATAAAATGCATGAAATTAAACAAAATATTTAAAAAGTTAGGTTCTTATTTTGAGTTATATTGTTTTTGTTTCTTTGAAACTGTTATTTATCAGTTTTCTGACAAAACTTTCCTTCGAAATTATTTTCAAGCCTATCTGTCTTACTGAAATACTATTCACAAAATTCTGGTAAACGAAACAGTTTCTTAAATTTTGTTTTATTTTTGCTTTACTTGGTCTAAATGGATATTCAAATTCAGTGTCTCACTAGGGACTTAATAGGCGTTATGTAAATATCTGTCTACAAACCTGACCTTCGTAATTCAACTCTTTATTTTTAAGTAAACTCAATATTCCTTTTTCACACCTGTATCGTAGTGATCTAGTAGTCAAACATCACAGCCCCTAGCAATCACTCATTGATTGCTCAATCAGATTTTTCATTTTTCCGTAGCAAAAGAAGATTTATTCGACTCTCCATAAAAAATATGAAATTCTGAATGTTTCTACTTAACTGTCACACCCGCATCCCTTAACCTGTGCACTAACTGTGAGTGATTTCTCCTTTTTCTTTTCAATCTTATCCTTATGTGTGTCAACCACCTCTGTCTTTGACATTCCACCCACTACACACTGCCACTATCCACACTCTTTACAACTTTTTCTCTTCTACTATTTATATCTTATCAATCATAGTGACTTCACGCTTTTGTGCTTTTCGTCCACTTCAGTTCTTTTACACCTGCACTCGATCACTCATCTTCCTAGAATATATCAATACCCATATTTATGTATGTTATTCTATTTTATTATATCCTTTATAATTTTGTATATATATATTCTCCCTCCTTGTGTGTGGAAAGGATTATAGTAACCGTAATATTATCTAATCGCATATTGCGTGGTAACGTTCAGCATCCTCGGTATGAACCTCTTCGGGTGCAAATTCTGCGAGAAAGACAAGCATGGCGATCAAGTGTGCGACCGAAAAAACTTTGATACGCTCTTGTGGGCCTTTGTCACGGTGTTTCAGGTATTCAACATTTTAAATTAAAATACCTAACAGACAACCCAGAAACAGACTGAACTTGCAACATTTACTAAACGCTTACCCACGGGTCCGTCAGCAGCCAACACTCATGACCGTAGGACAAACCCGAATAACAGAAGGTTGTCTTGTCACGGCTAATCGACTAACCACGAGAGTACACAAACGACCGTTCACTCTGCTGCAAGAGCCAGTCCCCACGCCCCTACATAACTGTACAGTAATCAAGTAACACTCGCACAGGGATGAAGCTTGCAGCACAGTGCGTTGTCAAACAAGCGTTCAGTCGCGTAACCGCTACCCTAGTACCCGCGTAGTGAGATCTAGTACCATTCGTAACAGATTGATTCAACATCATCTAGTGTCACGTTCACCATGTTGTTCGTACAGTACTCCCATCAGAAGTTGTCCAGAGCACATTTAACTTAGTCAGAGAGCTTGGTTGAGTAGTAGGTTAGCTTGAGGTCGTTCGAAGCCGAGTCGTGGGTTAACCTGTTCGTCAGTTCCTCTACTCCCACTACTACAACTGCACTCAGTTATACAGTATATCTATCACTCTGCATGCTGCTTCTATTATTTAGTTATTAATCTTGAACAGCTTGGTCCGAAATTAGTGGAATCTTGTTTCATATCTATTTTCTGTTGAATTTACTTTCAAGTATATGCGATAAAAGTTTCCACAAGTTTCGTTATCAACCCTGGCATCCTTATTTTTAACTTCAGTAACAATCAAATTTTCAATTACTTCCCCTTTTCTTAAACTCTTTCACTTAATAATTAACAGAAGCTATAGCTCCTCTCATCTAAATTTCCTTTAACTCTTTTCCATCTGCATCTCTCAGGATGAATTTATTTATAATTTAAATAATTACTGCATTATAATTTGAATGACTTTTGCCACGAGTAATATAATGATACAGTATGAATGAGAATTTTCTTTGATTATGTCTTAATTATCTTTTACGCACTTTACTTTCGCCTATTTATTCCTCCTCCAGATTATTTTTATTGCATTTCTACTTTTTATTATAATAATGAGGCAGTATAAAGAATGAAATATAATCTAAGTATTAAGTTTGTCGAGGAACTTAATTGCACTAAATAACACGATGTTAATGAAAGTAAATACATGATTTAGTTGATTAACATGAAATCCGTTGGTTGTAGCGTTCCAACGGCGATAACACTGCTTAACCATTTAGGCTTTTGTTTATTAATTAATTATTACATCACATCCCAGAATGAGATCATTAGGACGATTGTATGAAGTAAAACTAATTTTACGGCACGTTACCGTGTAGATACACAATTATTACTGCACTACTAATACTGATTGTGTGCATACATAATATAGAGGTCTCCTAAATATTACGATAGTATCGGCTCGGATCATGTCCTTCTTGTTATGGCACTAACTGCACACACTAGATCTGTAAAGCAATAACTATTTGCAGCCCGTAACATTAGTATTATTTCAGTAGTTCGTTCATGAGCGCAGGTTGCAGTGTTAACGTCTCGTACGCAACAATAATGTCGTCAGGATGACTCGGTCGCGGCGTTTGCGCATAGCGTTTTGTTTTTCTTTCATTTTTACATCGACTCCACGACGAGCAGTATTCTGGGCATGTATCTATTCGGTGGTAAGTTTTGCAAGTTCGTCGAAGACAATGGCACCGAGCGGGATTGTACCTGCCCCGAGATCATCTCCCACCATCCCAAGTGTGAGTGCGACAGGAAACATTTTAATAACATCCTATGGGCTACCGTCACCGTGTTTCAGGTAAGCCTTGAGCGGTACGCTACACTAGGCTCAGTAATAGACGGTTTATTTGCGATCCCGTTACAATATGTTTTAGAAGATAGACGCCGCGAGTTTCTCGTAACTACCAACTCGAACTCATTGGAACTGTAAATATGTATATTTGTCTTATTTGACAACTTTTCAAAACGGTTGTGAGAAAAGACGAGTACCACAAAAACTTAACGATAAACATGAATGAACATGATTTGTACATTACTAGAATTGGCACGAGCGAGAGATCCGCCGTAATTATTTAGCATTTACATTTTGGTAATGCACTACAAGGAGCGCTCCGTAGTTAGTTTGCATCTTGCTTAGTAGTGAATAGTATTAGGTAATGCTGAACCCTGTATGCTTGTGTACTCAACTCGCCGTCTGTGTTCCCTTTCATTACTGTGTATTAGTGAACACCGACACAACAACAAGACACTTGTCAACACTAACACGCTGATTACTAACAAGTTTTTTTGTATTTTTTTAATTTAATTTATTAACATTGAAATGACATACAGTTTTATTACACCAAAAGGCACGACTTAATACAATATGACAGCACACCTTGCTTATTTTGATTTGTTAAACAAAATCGAGTTTTAAGAATATTGATGTGGTAGAACGATTGAAGCAGTTGGACGAAATTCTGACTTGCGTGTGAAAATTTCAGGTTTTAACACAGGAAGATTGGAATGTTGTTTTATTTAATGGCATGGAAAAAACGAGTCATTGGGCCGCTTTATATTTTGTTGCCCTCATGACATTTGGGAATTATGTACTGTTCAACTTGTTAGTTGCTATACTCGTCGAGGGATTCAGCTCAGAGGTAAGCAGACATAAAACTAACAGACGATATCATTTTATTTTCGCTTGAATCATTCAACCTTAGATGTTTTGAGAAAGAATACATTAGAAACAGACAACGTCTTCTTTGCATTACTTATACGTAGACACATACCTCTAGCATAGAATTATCAATCAAATTCTCATGTGTAATTCAAATGTTTTAGCGAAATGAGAGAAGGGAACGTGAACAGCGGGAGCTGGCAAAATCAAAATTGTCAAGCGAATGTTTCTCAGACAATAACGAATTGCACTACGACGACTCGAATTCGGGATCACATTCCAGTGAAAGCTTTTCGCAGGTAAAGTATTTGGGAGAGTATTTCATTAAGTCAACGAAAACAATGTATTCTATTTGAAAAATAGCGATGTATATTCCAATGTTACCAAGAATTCAGCTTATTTTATCGAGAATGTATATCAACAGAATGAAATTAAAAACTATTGGAGGTCAGCGGATGATGTACGAAAGGCCAAAGATGATGTTAATGGACATAAAGAAAAGGCAATGAAATCTCGTCGTAAAACTAAATCTTCGGCTCACCATCCGACACTTTGCAAAGACTGCGCCCAGTCCAACAAGTGTAATCTGCAAAAGGTGAGCGACAAATGTAGTTTATGAGTTCATCTCAATTGCGTGGTAGCATAATATAAAGTTTTCATTAGTTCGCACTAGATAAATGAAAGTTAATTCTACAAAGTACCAATATTTTCTTACATTTCTTACAAATAACGGACGTGTTTTATTAAAAAATATTGGTTTCTAGAAGAATAATTTCGACCTTATTGCGGTACTATAAACCTAATAACTTCTTTGTAATTTCTACGTTTAGTCTAGATCTAGACTAAAATTTTAGGTTTTATTCGTCGTAAAATGTCTTATTACTTTTATAATACGTTTCGATCCTAATCCTCTGAAATATCTTAGGTGTATAAACCCGTCTTTTGTCCCATTTATTTTATCTCGTCTTTCTTTTTGCCTCTTATTTGACTCAGAATCCCATTACTGAAAACTTTAATCTTTTGGACTTTGTATATCTTGACTTGATGCTAAAAATCCTTCATTCACCTGTGAATTGTCTGAACGCAGACGTACGCGAGACATAATGCGTTGTCTATTTTGTCTTATATATCCACAGACAAAAGGTTAATCTGAGCGGAAAAGGTTACTGAAACACTTACAAAAAATACCATTGTAGTATTTCGATTTGGACTTTTTTCAATTGAAATTCAATTACTTTTTAATTGTCTGGCAATAATTTTCAATCTTCTCAACTTTCTCCTAGGAGTCAAAAATGCTAGCTAGTAATGCTGGCATAACAGAATCATCAGCACTGCCGATGATTACACACACAGCCGCTACGCCACAAGATTCACCGTCTACTACTCTGGAACCTGGCGCTTCATTCAGGGATTTTAATGTCGCTTTAAGTCTAGAAAGGTCTGCCATGTTATCCAGTTTGGACTCAATAGATCGCACTTCGGTAAGTAGATAATGGGGATGATGACAGGGTATGAAAATTAAAAATATAATTAGTCCGTAAGTTAGGTAATGAAAAAATATTAGACACGTATTTTTTTATTTTGTCGTATAATAAAACAATACTCATACGTCATTTCTTAGTATAAAATGTACTGAGAAGTGACGTCACGCGACATTTCAAATCAATATATCTTCGAAACTATTCGTTTCTGTGAGAAAATAAAAAATACGTGTCTAATGTTTTTAAATAATCTACCAGACGGACATTAAAATAAAAATTAGTCGTCTACCCTATTAAAAAGTTTTTACAATAAACTCTATACGATTTCGTATAAATAAATTAAATATATGTATTAGCTATGAATTGTATGTGTGAATGAATTTTAAGTGTTTAATTTCTTCATTTACCTTTTTAGTGTACCAGCATACCAGGACTTCTGAAACCACCTAACAGTTACACATTAACCCTACACTCAGCTCAAGCTCAACTTGGTGCAGAAAAGGCCCGTTTACCTCCAATGACATTGGCCCCTCCCCCTCTCACCCTCGCTCCACCTCCTCTAAGATCAGCGTCGCCTGCGCCAACAACACCAAGCACACCAAGATCAATGCCATCGCCATTATTACCAGAGAAAAATCTACAAATTACGATAGCAAAGGACGAAAACTGTTTGAATACCAATGATAAATCTAGTCTTCTGAGCTCACAAAAGTAAGTTTTTATTAGTCCTTTAATATTTAGACGATAATTTTTGTTTATCTCTTCTATAGATTCTAATTATGTCAGTTTTTGTTCTAGGAACGTAAGTGTAGTTAGTATGGCTAATGGCGAAGACAAATGTAGGGTGCAACGAGGCTATAGCTGGCGGTTATCAAGGTCAAGTCTAAGAAAGAAGCCTAAACAAAGGACAGGATCGGATTCTGACGCCATTATACTAAATAACGGCAGGGATCACGCAGTCTGCAATGGTATAAGATTATTATAACACTTTTTTAAAAACAACTAACACTACACTACTTTTTGCATGAATATTTCGATGTTTGTATGCTTTTAATTTTCTATGTGCGTACTTTTGTGTATTTACAAATGATTGATGTAAAGGAATTACTTTACTTTTTGAGAAACAAGTTCTAATATATCTAATACAGGTTTTAGTCAATTTTATCCCATGTTAAAAGATTTTAACTCATTATCAAGTACTAGCAAAAATTTTTAAATAATTTATATAACTAGCGGACCCGAGCGCCGTTGTCCTGCATCTAATATAATAATATTAGGTATAGATAAATAACCTAGGTACCGACTGCAGCGCCATCTGCCGGGCTGATTAGTGAATCTAAACCATCTAGAGCGCCACTCAAACGCATACAGAAAAAATCATTTAAATCGGTCTAGCCGTTTAGGAGGACTTCAATAACATACACACGTACAGCAGAATTATATATATGAAGATTATTCCTTCTAAGTTATGATATAATAATTTTAATATTAGGTTCGAACATTCGTAAGAACGAGCTACTGCTATCATCATCAATGGTGATAAAGAATGACACTCAGTCCGAACTGCCGAACAACAGAACGCGAACACCGCTACAAGGACCTCGCGTTCTACCGCAACCCATTCGACGAGTTTCTGCACATAACACACCTTTACTACCTGACGTAAGTTTACCTTACCTTTTATAAATATGGCTTTAAATAGCTTAACACTAGTTTTATAGATAATTATGACAATATTAATCCGAAAAAAAAACATTCAGTATTTTATCCAAGTGACCTAATTCTTTGCGCTTATTTTTATATTCTTGTTCAGGTATCATGGAAAGCTCCAGAAGCGGGGTTCTCATCCGATTCGACAGTGCGGCTCGACTCAGTGAAGGCGCCGCCTCACAGACTATCACTTACTAATGACTACTTGACAGGTAAGCAGGTAACCTAGTTGCCCACTTCACATTTCTACGTAATCCAGTCTTGTTTTCAAAACACTGGTTATTGCAATCGATTATAGAGAACTAGGTGACTGCCCGTGTCTGTACTTTCTGATATTTAATGCATTCCATAACCATTGCTTACCTATCGATTGAATTTCGACGGTAAGAATAGGTTAGTAGGCTTAACTATAAACAAAACTTTGTTTGACATTAGTTAACAAACTATACGCCGACCATTGAAATGTCAAGACAAAACATTTTGATAATTGATAGGCACTGGTTGAGTGACAGCGTTTCAAAACATTTGTTTATTTACATAGCTACTACTCACAGATTGAAGGATTGTAAAGGTACCTACTAACAAAAGATCAAATTATAAAACACGACATTTAATGTACACGACATTTTCATAGGCAAGTTACGAGTGTCTGACTACGACTCATTGGTAACAGTGACATCGGTGTCAGAAGTGAAGGCGAGCAATTTGGGACCCTCGTCACCCGTAGTGCCGGTGACGCCTAGACCGGTGAGGGAACTGCCAGCTCCCTCAATACCAACAAGGATTAACGTCCAGCCCTTGCCTCTCATGAAGCAGATCAATGAGGAAGTACGTAGCAGTAAATTTAAGGTAACAGAGATATCGGATCAAATGTGAAGACGAGGTATGAGGTCATCAAAGTAGCTTCACAAGCTATATCACCTACAGTTGCTGTTAGATCAAAGGCATCGTAACAACATATTATAAGAACCATTCCGAACCATTTTAACCATCATTTTAAATAAGCATCTAGAATCTAACAGTCAATAATCGTCTTCTCATTTAGTGAAACCATCGTTATCACGTTTGAAGGAAATTCTCTAGTCAGCTTTAAATATTTGTGGTAAACCCTCTGCTAGCTTGTGCTTGTCGGTTCACCACAACAATTCAAACAGAGTTTGACCTAAAACTTCCTTTTGACACCTAGCTGAATGTTATTATAAACTTTATTAATCGCTTTGTTCTGTTTGCAGCGCTTACATGGAAAACATTATACATATGTATTATAGTGTTCGTTATAGAATATGTCAATGTTTATGAGGAAAATAGTCCAACACAAAACATTATTTGCAGGTGGCCATAAACAACGTGTGTATGTTGTCATCAAGGTTCGACAGACGGCGGTACAGATTCAAAGACCTTTTTCGCTTTATGGAGCCGACGGGCTGTCTCAAAGAAAAAGAATTTTACTCACTGTACATTTTTTCGCCAGAAAACAAGTAAGATTATAGCGACCTCAATTCCTTTATTTCGCTAAAAGAATTTTAGTATTTTCGTAATGAAATAAGTACTTTTATGTCTTCGAAGCTTCCCTAAACGAATCAGCCAACTACACTTTTAATAATGTTGAGATCAGTTTCATGCTAAAATTCCTAGAAATTGTTAAAGTGATAGAATTTCGACATTTATTACGGTTTCTTTGAAATATATTTTTCCATGTACTTCATTTTAGAATGCGTCGATTTTGTACATGGGTAGTGACGCGAGGTTGGTTTGACAACATAGTGCTATTGTTCATTGCACTGAATTGCATCACGTTAGCAATGGAGCGACCCAACATTCCACCAGACTCTAAGGAGCGGTCCTTCCTCTCTAGTGCCAACTACGTATTCACAGGAGTATTCGCCGTTGAAATGTTTATAAAGGTCAGTTTAGCACATAATTTTTAAAACAAGATTTTATTTATTTTTTACACGCGTGTAATTTTCACTTATTACCAAAACTGCGTGTTAATTAAGTAATTTCCTCACAATATTCTCACATAATTTAAAATTTCCCTGTTGTACCCAATTCTAAAATTAATCACAATAATTAAACGTAAGCCATACAAATTTAATTGCGAAGGAACCTTTTAATAACTACAACGTCTTTTAAATATGTAACAGGTATTAAAATACAGAGTAAACAAAATTTCGTATTGTCTGTAAGAGTCATAAAGTCTTTAGTTACTTCCCTAGTGAATATGCTACATTGTCGATACGAAACTTCATTTTTATACATAGTTCATAATGTGGATAAAAACTGTAGTCGATTTACCCTATAATCATAATATTGCTGCACTACAAGTACCACACGTATGATACCACATCATTTGTGTTCAGGTTAATAATACTTATGTTACTTTGTAAAGAGACTTCAAAGAACATTTTGGCATATTGTAGTACGTACTTCCAGTGTATTATGATTAAAAAAGCTTCTAACATAAACTACAAAAATGCATACATGACTACATCAAATCTTAAACATTGAAGTTTTAAATTAACACTGTGTTATGCAAGAACATCTAAAAATCACCCAAACCTTTTCAAAATATTTCGATAAAACAGAAAGTATGTCTACTATCGAATATTTTACGGTAGAGAGCGGCACAAGCGAAGCATGAAACAGTTTGACTAGGAAACATGGTACGCTGTTCATGTCACGTACACTCCGATAGCTTTACCCACTTCTATCAACAGTCACTGCCATATTGTTTTTGCTTTGTAGATACATATTTACTTTACCTTTTAGACAATATTTTGGAAAAGACAAGTCGTATTTACTTTATTATGTTGACAGAACAAAATGTAGATAAACACTAAACAGTTCATGGAAGTAACCTCTATTTATTCTGTTTTCGCAAATCAGGTAGTGGCATCCGGAATGTTTTATGGCCCCGACGCGTATTTCACGTCTGGTTGGAACATTATGGATGGATCACTGGTCATCATATCCATCATTGACTTGCTAATGTCTCTAGTATCAGAATCCAGTCCTCGAATATTTGGAATTCTCAGGGTAAGCTGCTCGGACCTACTTATGTTTGTGACTTCATTAATAAAGCAAATATAATAATAATATTCCATATTTTTGCCAGGTATTTAGATTACTAAGATCGCTAAGGCCACTGCGAGTTATAAACAGAGCGCCAGGATTGAAATTAGTTGTACAAACACTGCTGTCTTCATTGAGACCTATCGGAAACATTGTGTTAATTTGTTGCACTTTCTTCATCATTTTTGGTATTTTGGGAGTACAGGTAAGGAACTTATTTAGGTAATAGCATCGTGTGATTGATGTTATATGTATTATTTTAAACTAATTTTGCTTCAATATTCCGTTCTGTATGTCACACATAACTGTTACAATTTGTGTGTACACCGCGAAACCCTGGAGGATAACACTAGTAGTGCCTAAAGCCATGTGTGTAATTGCATCACTAACAAGACACGGATCTATGCTACTTGTCCCAAGAGTAATTCAATCCGCTTACATCCTAATCAACTTGATAATATACGTAAACGCCAATAGAATAATAATCTAATTAAAACCTTAATGATCTAATGAAATGTTAGTTTTTGAGTTCGAAAGTCAATTTGCAAGTTGTCTAATTGAAACAAACTAATGAACTCCACCAGAACTGCTTAATGTTTAAGCAACTGTGAATATATGTAAAATCGTTTTTTTTATTTCAGCTTTTCAAAGGAGCATTTTTCTACTGTGAAGGTGCAAACATAAAGAATGTAAAAAACAAATCCGATTGCTTGGCAATAGAAGGCAATGTTTGGGTGAACAGAAAATACAACTTCGACGATTTGGGCAAAGCGCTGATGTCATTGTTTGTGCTGAGTTCTAGAGACGGATGGGTGAACATTATGTACACGGGGCTTGACGCGGTCGGGGTTGATCAACAGGTACTGATCCAAAAATATAATTCTATTGTCATCTATCATATAAAATTGACTGTTTATTATATCCATGAAACGATATATTTTTACTTGAGTATATTTTTTCTAACCTTTTTGCAATTTGTTTGAAGCATTAGATCGATTTCCAGCAACAGATGTTGGAAACGGTCCCTCACAACGATAACGACATCGTTCTACGCATTAAAAACTCTTATTATAAGCTTTCAATCGTGCAATTAAAATATAAAAGCCTTTAAAATAGGGATTCAAGCCCGAATACCACTTAAAATTCAAGTCACGAATGTCATTTTAATTTTAAGAAACATCATTAAAAAATTTTGTTTTTATTTAAAAAACTTATGTTATTTTATTTTTATTTATGTTGTATTTTATTTTTATTTAATACTTTATAACTTATGGTTTCCATTTTTTTTTGCACAGCCAATAGTAAACTACTCAGAATGGCGGCTCTTGTACTTCATCGCATTTATACTGTTGGTTGGATTCTTCGTGCTGAACATGTTCGTGGGAGTGGTAGTAGAGAATTTCCACAGATGCCGCGAGGAACAAGAGAAAGAAGAGAGGGTCAGAAGAGCCGCCAAGAGAGCACTACAAATGGAGAAGAAACGAAGAAGTTAGTATACATCTGTCTAATACATACACACGCCATATCTATCTAATACATACACAAAACACATAACAGCACGAGAAATATTGTCGTGTACCTAAGTAAACACACGTTGAATAATGTTTGTTAACTCTGTATATTTTGTTTCAGAGATGCACATGCGACCATATTATGCAGACTATTCACAAACACGTTTATTCGTCCACAACGTGGTAACATCTAAATATTTCGACCTGGCTATAGCCGGTGTTATCGGCTTAAACGTCGTTACAATGGCCATAGAATACTACAGAATGCCGCCAGCTCTGCAATATGCACTTAAAATATTCAATTATTTCTTCACTGCTGTGTTTATCTTGGAAGCAATTATGAAACTAGTGGCTTTAGGGTTCAAAATATATTTAAAAGACAAATGGAATCAACTAGACGTAATCATCGTCATCCTATCTATAGTGGGTATAGTTTTAGAAGAATTAGAAACTAATATAATTCCAATCAATCCGACTATTATGAGAGTAATGAGGGTGTTGAGGATAGCCAGGGTACTTAAGTTACTGAAGATGGCGAAGGGAATAAGAGCATTGTTGGACACTGTGATGCAGGCTTTACCGCAAGTTGGTAACTTGGGGCTTCTGTTCTTTCTCCTATTTTTCATATTCGCTGCGCTTGGTGTGGAGCTCTTTGGAAGGTTGGAATGTTCTGATGAAATTCCATGTCAAGGTACAACTAAAACATTTTACAAATAGTTTTTGTTCACATAATTTGTATTTGACTACAAAAATATTAATTATTTTTAATTCCGCAGGACTGGGAGAACATGCCCACTTCGCTAACTTTGGCATGGCATTCCTAACGTTATTCCGCGTGGCAACCGGAGACAACTGGAATGGTATCATGAAAGACACTCTACGAGAAGATTGCGACAGCTCTGTCGACTGCGTCAGGAACTGCTGTGTGTCTACCATCATAGCGCCCATCTTCTTCGTCGTATTTGTGTTAATGGCGCAGTTCGTTCTCGTCAATGTGGTTGTCGCTGTAAGTACTTTGAATAGTAAACATTGAAATTACGGGTAAAGTTTATTTTTGGCGACATTACAATTTTACATTTTTTATTTCACAGGTACTGATGAAACACCTAGAAGAATCTCATAAACAAATGGAAGATGAAAATGACATGGACGTGGAACTCGAGCGTGAGTTAGAACGGGAGGCAGATGATGAGGAAGACAGAGCTCTCTGTCGCGCTCTAGAACAATGTATGAGCCCTCCGCGGCCGCTGAACAAGGTACCTTCCCTCCCGGCTAACTTCACGTACAGCGAGCCCAAGCAACCAGCACCGTCCCCCGCACGCCGCCGGCGCACGCTGCACTCGCACACCGCTTTGTTACCGACGGCACTACCACCGAGACGGGCGTCCTTATCCCCTCACGCCTTCGGGCGACGCCGACAGGACTCGAGTTCCGAGCCTCCCGCTGCACTCTACGAAGAAGATGCACGGTTCATCGACGCAGACGATGCCGACCAGCTTGAGCCCGGCAGCCCACCTCGGCGGGACTCCTTTGCTCAGAACAGGAGGCAGCGTGTAGACAAAAGAAACTCCCTGCGTGGTGAAGAAGCCCGTTTACTACGACCGGTACTACTTGCTGTGCCATCTACAAGGCAGAGTCTAAGACTGAGCGGCCCCAAAAGGAGATTATCTACAGAGTCGGCCGCAACAGATGCCAGCAATACGTCACGCTCCCAACATCTACTTACGCCAGAGTCGGCTGATCAACCAATAAGTGAGGAGGAGAAAATAAGAATAGTGATAGCCGAGAGGCGAAAGATGGACGCGACGAGGCCAGAACCGGATGAAGTAGTGGAACTAGCAGAGCGAGGCTCCTAGTCCAGGCGGGGCCGGCCGCAGCAACACCATGAAGTCTACATCTAGATGTCGCTGAGAGCGACGTCCGGGTGCCCTATCCTCTGTCTCTTCCTCGACCTCCTCTCGTCTATAAGTGTTGAATGCTCAAGGACAGTGAATGCTTGAACTCGGTTGCACGAACAGTGTATTATAGTGACGATTTTATAAACTAATCTTGACTTTGGTGCGTTTCAGTGTTGTGTTGCGTTGTCGATATTAATGAAAGATGGATATTGCCTGTTCCGAACAGAACTTCTCCTACGTTTTCTTTCCTACATCCGACCTAACCCTCACTTCACCATTTGCGGCCGGTTCAATTACTTCATAAAGAGACTTTAATAAATTTAGTGTAAGGTGTATAAAAGATGTAGATAGGAGTTAGAACTAGTCAATTTGTTGTGGTGGGATGTTTTCTACGAGAGCTAAAATTTACTTTGTAATTTTATTATTAGTACGGTGCTTGCTGTTAAAGGTTAATTCGTTATTATTATTAAATTCTTTAAGATTTTCCAAAGTAAACCTCAACGAAATATTGGTTTTAGACAATAGATTCAGTTTATCATGCAACCACAGACTCGTTTAAAGATGTGTGTGCAATTAAATATTAGACTTTACTTAAGAACGGGTTTCAAATCATTGAATTTTTAGTGTTATGACAATTTGTGTATTCAACGATTTAAAAGCCTATAATATTATAATTTCGATGTGGGTACTTAGTCGTGATTACTTCTAAAGTATCTGTTAGCCAACGACTGTGTAGTCTTCTAGAGTATTGTTACTAGCTAGATCTTTGTCAATCTAATATCTAAAGTGGAACCAAGAGTTGGTGAATTGATTATAATTCTCTTTAAAGATGAAAGATAATATTTTCTGAATATAAATGAATCCTATTTTCTTACAGAGTCATGTACGTAATTTAGACGTGTAACTGGCAATACGCACATAACGGTAGAGTCGACATTAGGTAGAACGAAGTAGATTGTGAGTAACGACATTGCAAACTGATCTGTTAACAAAAGCTATGAACTACGATAGTTTCAACTTAGATTGTATTATTTATTGATATTTTAAAGTTTAGTGCGATGTATCACTAGCCGTGCCAAATCTACAAGACCTTTTAAATTAAGCGAACATTTTGTAAGAGTATTTTAATTGAGCTGTTGATACCTGGATGCTTGTCTTTCAAAACTTTTCCGCTTGTTTAAATTACTTACTGTCTACTTTAGAAAACGCCGCAGAGCAAGACAAAGTAAGTTAAAGTACCTAAAATATCAAAGAAAGTTTAATTTAAAGCACAAGCTGATGTTTATTTTGAAACATGTCTATGTGGTTCTAGTTACTGTATAACGTCGTACCTAGTTAGGGAAGTCAGCAATAAATTTTATACTTCGACTGTGCCTTTCCTATTTCTAATGTATTAGCTTGTGAAGTTGAATGTGGGTAGTCTCTGAGATTTAATGTACACTGTAGGAGTTGGAGTGTAGATACATTAAATTATGATTCTTGTTGAGTCTTTATTAAGTTTTCGTTATTTGTCATGTGAAGAGTTTTGTAAATGTAAGACGTTCCCGAAGTAAATAATGTTAACTTTGTGTCATTCCGAAAACTAAAACTATTCTATTTTGTACCTATGAGAGCAGTACAACAAATATATTAGTGTGTAGCATTTAGCTTAAAGTTTTGTTGTGCCATTTATTCCATGAAAATGTCAAAATATGTCCTAATTAACAATATATTTAATAATTACTTGATTGCTTCTCTTTCCACAAGACGCTATCTCTCAATTACATAATGTCTTCCATCTTTACTCAATCTATACCGGTAACTTACAATGGTATCGATCGAAGTTTTATTCCTAGCTACAATAGAGTTCTTGTATAAATAGACATCGAGTGATTTCATGTTTAATATTATTTATATTTTCATGTTTATGTAAAAGAATTGATTAAAAGGAATTTAGTAAAATTAAGAATAGTATTTTCGTGATAAAAGTAAATTTCGTGATAATGATGAATAATTGTTTTTCGGTACTGATCGTATAATAATTTAAGTGGTATGAACAATGTTCATAGTTGAGTACACCTGTTATCTTAGCTGGTGATCTGTCGAGTTAAGAAAGTTACGACAATGTTAGGTTGAAAAAATAAATCAAAATTCAAATAATTGCGTTTCATTCCGCAACATCCCTGACACATGGTGTCCCTACATCCGCTCCAAGTTAGATTATTATTTTTAAGTTGTTCGTTTGTTCAGCGTCCCCAGGTAATTTAGCAGGCGCAGGTACCCACAAAGGAGAGAGCAACAGGCGAACTGAATTGAGTTTAGCAACAATCTTTGCGAGCGTCCTATCTTGTTAGCGAGCGCTTACAATCTCATTTGCATAATTCCTTGAAACGAATTTTAATGGGTTCTTTATCGTGTTGAACAACATAATGCCGTTTTCATGAAAAGCTGAAGATGCTCCGGCTCGTTACGGTGCGAAGGGATTTGTTTGTCAAATAATTAAGACTGACCGATTCGCCCCGAAGAGAATCTGCTTGAAAATTCAGATAAGCAGAATAATTTCATTTCGGTAATCCTGATTTCTTGAGTAAAATGTTAAGAATCTCTTTTGAAGCGCTATAACCAATTATACTTGTCTATATTTTCTCAAGTTCTTATAATTTAACAAAGAATAATATTTAATTAAACATGTTCAGGAAAAGTTCTTGACCTGTTTTTAACCGACGTCCCAAAAAGGAGGAGGTTATCAATTTGGCTATGTTTTTTTATGTTTTTATATTATCAACTTGGAAATAAATTAAGTTTGTGAACTTTTAAAAGTAGTAGTTGTAAAAGCGATATTATGTTTAGGTACGGAGACAATACAAGAGAAAATTTAATTTATCTAGTCTACCTACTTTTCTAGACAAAGCACACCGTAGTATATACAGTAGGCACATATAAAATGTACATAAAAATGATAAGCGCAGACGGTTTCCAAATTAGTTTGAAACCAGATTGGTACTCGTGGGCTGGTATAAATCCAAATAAAACTGAGAAGACCTTGTAAGTTTAAAAACAACTTGTTTACATTCTTGTGCGGCAGCAATCGAGGGAGATGATTGTTTTCATAACTCTAATTTTATTAGACCTTTTGTGAGCCACGTCTGCGTGGAGCCAGCGTGGCCCAAATAAAAAACTTAAATCAGCGCTCTTTCATGAACAGCCATATTTCAGGGGAAAATTCTTCCAATGCTGTCCATTTCAATCATGGGCTCGTGATATAAACCCAGAATATTATTTTGACCTCTTTATTTACAAACCTGAAGGCTCATAATAATAATAAAAATCTTTAGTGATTGTTCAGCTGTTATTTGCTACAGTCTCCTTCCTTAGTTTCAAAAAACGACTCAATAAACTGATTATATGGATGTTTTTCCTACTTTCTCCATAAACAAGTCATAAAAACACATAATAATGTCAACATTAGCTTAGTTCAAAACTCTGCTTCTTAATGTATTATGTAACAAACAAACAGATTAATCGTACTGTCCACATATTTCAGTATACTTAATAGTATTTACTTCGCCCTTAGCATTGAATTACATTCCCGATAACATTGGAACTATGAGAGCTTTTATTTTCCTCGCTCACATATGGGTAGGCACATACAAAGGGTTGAATTTTTGCGTGAAAAACTGAGTATTTTTATTTAAAAATGCACCCACCCGCAGCCTGCACAAACAAACCAAAATGTTTGTCCGGACCGGTTTAGGTACCTACTGGTGAAAAATTGTGAATTCTGACCGTCAACTTCCCCCGTTTCCATTTGAAATGCTTCGAACAAAATTGTTTTTTAAAGTCTTATGTGGAATGCCAATAAGTTTATTCTAACGTAGGGTACCTAGGTTTTGAGCTTTAAATTGAAACGATTTTCGTGTCAAACAAAGTTCTGAAGTAGATCGCACATCGCCTTCAACTGCCAAGATTGAAGAAAGCGCTTTTCAAAGTGGTTCATAGTTCAGAAAATCACCAAACGAGTGAAGAGAATGCGAGCTACAACAAAGGAGACTATTTTGTTAATTTTATTTTGTTATTTGTTAAAATTGAATGCAAACGCGACAAAGAGTAGGTATAAAGCTTTGGGTTCAATTCCCATACTTAATTTTCGGTCACCTATGTGCCTAATTTTTGTAACAACAGAATTTTACTACCTATTAATATCATGTTTATATTAATAACAATAATACACGATTAAGTAAAATAATTCATGAGGAAGAACCCCTCTGTGGTTCGAAACTAGTAGAGCTTTTCTCAGTATATTCATGTAAGTAAACCGCGATTTTACTTAATTTAGTATGTCTCACGATAGTTATTATAAAAAAATAATACATGAATAAGAACAGCCAAACAAACAATAGTACACTAAGATCAAACCCCACTCACACATTTAGGACAACAATAACATCACAAAGCTGATATCTTAAGTCCTGACTCAACAATTTGTCGAAGGTATAAATTATTGGGAGTTAGTTATCTCGGGCTGGTGGAGGCCTCTTCACGTCTATTCAGCTGTAATCGGTGCCTCAGTGCGGTCTCTAATCGGTTTACTTAGAATATTGTTTGACAAACACAGCCAAATTAGTTGCCACCAAGATAAATGTTGGACTAGCTCTTGATAACCATTGTTATTGTGATTTTGGTTTCAGTAGAACCAAAATGGCTTTTGATTTCAGGTTAGGAATAATGAATGATTTACGTAAGTATAACCATATCTGTATCACATTTACCTACACATGATAAAATAAAAAGTAGTTGTAAAATTATTGATCTATTGGCACAATATTGCGGTTCGAATCCGTCAAGAAAGAACCGACCAAACCAACCAAATCAAAACAAAATGAATATTTTGTCAACCAAATCAAAACAAAATGAATATTTTGTTTTGATTTGGAATTGGATATGATGTGTAAGTTTGGACCTAAAAACGCATTCACGGA